ATATATATCCCAACTTCTCGTATGCCTCCCTCCACAGAGACACACCAGCCTTCCTGCTGACACCTATGGGTTACGACCACACCATAGTCAGTCGATGCATAACCAAAACGGCGCCTACGCGGGAGTGCCGCACATGGGGCAAGACATAGACACTCAAGCTATGCTGGCGAATAAGGTGTGTGTGACTCTAGTCGTATTTCTGGCTGTCTCAGGGTTGTGCATATCAGATGTGTGGGTGTGTGTGTGTGCATGAGATCTAGGGAGTGTGACTGTGTACACCATGGTTTGGAGATGCATGGCTAACGTAGTCGTACAAGCCACACACTCTCAACACTGCTGGGTGACAAGGCCTTTGTGCGGAGCCTTTAAGTACCTCGGTAATTGTCCATATATGACTTTTAACACTGTTGATCAACAAGGTGTGTGCGTGGAACCTTCAAGTCATTTCGTTAATTGTCCATAGGGGACTCGCTAAATCTCCTGATCAACAAGATGTGTGGGGAATCTTCAAGTCACCTCGTTAATTGTCCATTCGAGACTCACTAACACTGAAGGTCAACCAAGTGTGTGTGTGGGCGTCCGTCTTGTATGCTCAATCGTTGTCCTCCTATTGCGTATGCGGAGTTTGAGGTGTCGGCGCGAGGGTGTGGCTGGCGGGCTTGGTATGCACGCGTTCATGTGCACAATCACACCTCTGAGACACTCTATTGTTCTCTATTCGACTGTCCTGTGTCGGTTAATGATCCTGGTTAAGCAGATCTTCCTACAGACCGTGGTAGCGGAACATTGAGTGTGGAGGTGTGACATCGATCACAGATTGTACATGAATCGACTGCACAACACACCACCTCTCCGCATATGATTCTGGGCCATTATTGTCCGCTAACGCACTGACTGACTCGCGTATCGGTCCTCGTTATTTGTCCACTACTGTAGGTACGATGGGTGAGGTTTGAGCACGGCGGAGACGACCATCGATTGCACATGCTTCTGTGCACCAATGAGAACGTGCATGTGTGGGACGTGCAGAATACCGAGGAAGTCTGTGAGGTGGCGGTCATCGCGTGCAAAAGGTGAGCACCCACTAGCCCTGGCCCAAACCCTAAACCCTAAAACCGTAAAACTTCAACATCCTAAAACCCTAAAACCTCAACACCCTAAACTCCTAAACCTGGACTCACCTACCGGGGAGGTCACTCACGTGTCTAGATATGCAAGCGCGTATGCCAATGACGGGTCGGTTGGTGGCCTCCGTGGACATGTCTGGTGTATGATCAGTGGTGTGATGCTATTGTGTATTAGCCCCAGCGCTTGGCATTCAGATGCCTGTTGCTTAGCAACCAGGTGTCTGCTGCTTAGCAATTAGATGCATTGTGGTATAGCACTATTGGGTGTGAGCCCTAGTGCTTAGTAGCTCCACCTCCACCCGGTGTTCTAGAGCGGTTGGGTTCAGGTGCGGGTGATGTGCTCGTTAGTCAGTTGCACAGTGATGTGTATATCCGCTGTTGCCTCGGGTTAACACTCGGCAGTGCTCGTGGACCGTGGTGCATGCACTAGACACATGCACATCCTGCTGGGTATATATTTCCCCAATCCCCCACACTACACTTCTTATGGCAGACCGCTGGAGTACCGGGTTTGTGGTGTGGTTGCCATGGCAACCCAGGCTCTCTTTTGAGTCGATATCATCGACTAGTGTATAGGCCAGAGTCAGTCTTAAAATACGTATCAATATGTGCAACTGTATATTTCATACCTGCTGTGTGATCCATAACCTCGAAATATCTCCCGCTCACGGGTAGAAACTCTTCTTATATAATCATAGGGCGGTTGTGTGTAAGATGTTACAGAACTCTGCGAAGAGTGGCCGTTCAGTGGATCAAGGTGCTGCGTGGGATATGGACAGACACCACGACCGCTTGTTGTTGGCGGTTGTGAGCAGCACGTACAAGGTAAACATGAAAATGAATAGTATACTTACAAATACACACACACACACACATACATACACGCACACACACACACAAATACT